CCCACAGGCAGCCTCTCTCTGCCTGGCCAGTGTTGTAAAGCTCTTTTAGGTAGGACTGCTGATTAATGCCCACAGGACACACCAATCCATGATAAGGCTTGATGTGAAAGTACTCCGCTAACATACCTCCTCACCCCTGCCAGTTAAGTACAGGAGCACTCCATTCTGCAAGCAAGCCTCCTCTCCAAAGACACTCAGCTTTACTTGCTCCATGGGCTCATAAACCCATTGCTCTGTCTTATGTTCTGACTTTTGGTTCTGTTTCTGTTGCTCTTCACCCATTCCTCAAGTATCCCCACTGTCTGTCCCTGGGTCCAGAAGATTCTGTGCACAGAGATCTTAGGGTCCAAAGGATGCACACAACTTCTGACTCTTCTTCTATGAGGGTAGTAAGATCTGCTTCCGAGATGACTCATTTTATACCCATGCTAGAGTTGCAAGTTTTTATAACTAAAATGAACTCTGTTTACATCCGCAGATGAATGATGTCATCTTATTAGTATCTTCTCCAACCTTCTCTTATACTCAGACTCATCAGAAAAAGAGTCATTTGGTGGGAGTTACAAAGACTAAGGAGAGAAGAAACATGTTAAATAATTCACTACACCACACTATATAACTAAAATTTATCATCATATAATGGAATTAGCATTTAATCAGAGCACAGTAAATTTAAAAGTCATGTCCAAAGTGGTCATTTGGGGAGAGGGTAACCCTAAAAAGGCAGATTTTATCACTTTTTATAGATTAGATTTTAATTAAGTGGCCCACAAGTAGATAACAAAAAGTAATTCAATGGGGGTAGTGTTATGCCTGCAGAAGTTTATATTTGAAAACTGAAATTTATCACTAGGGTATGAGAGTCTAGAATTTTATTTTGAGACCATTACCAGAATTGTCATCTATTGAAGTTACCATAAGTCGAGAAAGCTAGGCTGTGAGAGTTGAGATATGTTTCCTTCATAATTTAAAAGAATAGATGGCCCAGCCTTCAAATTTTTCATTTTCTTTCCTGCTCTAAACTACTACATTTCTGTGATTATCCACTAGAGTCAGATTTTGTTAAAGGGTCAAGTTCCAAAGGAATATATTGAGCTTATGGATAGCAGCAGTTCTCTTCAAACAAACAAGAACAAACCCTGATATGTCCTCATGTTCTAGAACTCTAGACATTTACTCCAGTAATCTAGGAACTGTTGTCCTCTTCTGTATCTTTAATGCTCACAATAACTCTGAGATGTTATTTTACTAGGAATATTCTAAAGATGAGAAAACTCAGACTTTGGGAATGTAACTGATTTGTCCAACGCAATTCACTTAATAATTGAGGCATGCTTTGAGTCCAGATTGGCTGATTGTAGAACTATTGCTTTCCATTGAGCTATACTTCCTTTTAATAATCAATATTATTGGATAAACACTGGACTGCTAACCACAAGGTTCAAACCCACCAGTTGCACCTTGGAAACGCTATAAGGGTTGTGTTGGAGCCAACTCAATGGCAATTAAAAACAACAACAACAATGTAAAAGCTAAATTACTTTCATTAATACTTAACTCTATTTTCAGAAAATAATTTATTCCTCTCACAAAGGCAAACTATAAAAAGTTATTCCACTTCTCTGGTTTCTAGAAAATGCCTAATAAAAACCTGCTGTTAAAGATTTCAAAATACAAAATCTTCAGGACACATTAAAATAGATTTTTACTTAGTAATTCTTAAACAACTTGAATACTTCAATAATGACATAAGATAGCTTTATTTTTCTCCACTAATTACATTTCGACTTGAATGGAATAGCATTTTCTTGTGTTAAAATAGAGTATAGCCAAGGAAATAAAGCAAAATGAACATTTTAATTTTTCATTTTCAGTTCTGAATTCTCCTATTTAGTCCTCTTTTTTTGGACTTTAATTCAAGCAAACACCTGATAAATTTTGATTATAACTTGGAACTCAACATTAATTTGAACAGATTTTCAATATTTCTAATAATAAATGAAAATCAATTTCTGTGATAGAAGCTAATTATATCATAATAGTTGTTAAAATATTTGAACCACTAAACCTGGAAAATGCCTTCCATTTCAGGTTGAATACAAATAGTACTTCTCTCTCAATTTTAGGAAATGCATGAAAGGAGGTAGAAGGAGAAATGCAATGAAAGAAAAATGGATGTTCTTGTTAAGTACCATGGAATCGGTTCCGACTCATAGTAAGCCTGCACAGCGTTTCCGAGGCTGTAAATCTTTACGGGACCAGAAAGTCTCATCTTTCTCCCTGGTAGCTTTGAATTGCCGACTTTGAGGTTAGCAGTCCGATTCATAACCACTACGCTACCAGAGCTCAGAAAAGTAAAATATGAATAATATTAACCAAGGAGAACAGGATAAAAAATGAGGAAACACTATCTTACTACTATTTCACAAATATAACTTATTCTCTTCTTCTTGCTGCATTCAGTTAATAAGATCGTTTCCCCATTTTCCATTAATTCATTGTCTCTTTCCTCCTGATAAAACTACATCTAGATTTTACTTCCTGGAAGAAACTTTTAGGTGTAGCCTAGCCATGCTATAGATTAGACTTCAGAAACTGCATTTTCGAAGTTTAAGAAATGGTGGCAATTGCATATGACTTAACTTCGGGTCATCCCTTTACTTTATGTTCCATCATAATAGACATACAGAGTGTTTACAACTGAGAGAAATGAGGCTCAGTAGGTCATGCTACTTGTTAGTGGTGAGTTAGAATTTTAACCTTGATATGCCAACACTTTTTTTAAAGTGTTGAAGAGCAGAGATGTCAGCTTGAGGACTAGGGTGCGCCTGACCCAGGCCATTGTGTTTTCAATAGCCTCATATGGATGCG